AGATCATAATTAGCTTTAAATTACCTTTCTCACTTCATAATGACAAAAAAGAGCTATTGTTTGTCTTTTAATCATCAAAAAAAGTGTTTTGTTTTTTTTTGAGACGGGAAATGTATAAATGTTCTTAATTCTTTCTGAATGTTTTTCAGATATATCTTGTTTTAATGGAAACCCTCTTTGCACTTTTATATTTTATTATTTCTAAGTTTGTGTTCTAATATTTGTTTGTTTGTTTTTAACAGGAAAAGATTCATATCGAGCTCAGTCAGTCTTTCGAAAAAGATGAAACGTCCATCAAAAATGAGGACAGTGAGAAAATCTCAGAAAAGCCAGAGAAAACAGACCCACTGTCCAAGAAGACACTCTCAAGAGGTGTGTGTGTGTGTGTGTGTGTGGCTTTGTTTTTTTGGCAGAGGAGGTGTTTTCTCACAGGCCAGATGGATGCAACAGAATGTGTGTGATGAATCTCTCTCCATCTCTCTCTCAGATCCCAGTCAGGACTACACAGACTCCACAGGAGTAAACCTCCACGAATTTCTGGTCAACACGCTGAAGAACAACCCCCGGTGTGTGAAAATCCCCCCGCCATCTCATTATCACACCCTCACACGAGCACCACTGCTACTTCCTGTCGCTTCATTGAGCTCCTTCCCAAAATCCCATTTAAAATGTATTCTTGGGTTACTATAAATAGGGACATATACATTTTATTTTTTTCCCTAAAGGTTTTTTTGACCATTTTATATTTACAATATATTTTTATATTTTTAATATATAATGTTTCTTAATAACTTTGATATTTTAATTAAACGTATAAGAGAAGTACTGTTTTCCACATGTCTTGCAGCTCTTATCAGTTGGTAATGTGGATGGATGCAAGGCTTGTAGGCACACATTTGAATATTCTAGCACTTGTGCGCTAGATTCTCATCAGGTTGATGAGCTGTGATAAACGCTAATGAACGCTGTTCTTACAGAGACAGAATGATGCTGCTGAAACTCGAGCAAGATATTCTGGACTTCATTAGCAACATCGAGTAAGTTGAGCCCAAAAAACTGGAGAACAGTTTAAATTGACATAATTT